TGAGTGAGAGTTTCGTCAGTTAAAAACATAAATTTCGAGCCAATAAAATTAATTAATCACTTAAAACAATCTGATGTTTTTTAAGTCCCTAGGTAAATCTCTTCATATGCTATGACCGAAACACTTACTAAATTCTTTTCGGTAACAACAAATACAAACATTTTACAAGTTCGATCACTGGCTGACATCAATTAGAAAACCACTGGAAAATTCGGGAGTACTGGGGAGCTCTTTCGTCCCAGATTGAGACTGTTCAACAGCACACGCCCACCAGGGTTCGAACCCATGGCCTTAAGTTTACAAGGCAAGCTTGTTGAACATTCATCCACTGGGACGGAATCCAATCACCCATGAATTACAACTTCCGCCAATTCGTGACTTTAGTTTGCATGCATCGGTATTTCTAGCATTTCACTATAAGTCTTATCACTTACAAATGATTTAAAGAGCTTAGTTAAGCCTTATTTGTCCACAGAATATTGAGGATTAATAAAACCTCGTTACATGTTTCTTAGAAAGATTTTGGCTTTAAGTTAGAGAATATGGCTTTGAATATTGAGATTTAGGTGATGTATGATTTCGACTAGTTATTTCCTTAGTATATATCACAGGAAAAAAAGCCAAATCATTTGAGCAGTATACTTAATAAACAGAATACAATAAGAAAGCCTAATAGAATCAAAGTCAAACAATTAAAAATATCTTAAGGAATTATTATCACTATCGGATAGAATGACGTGCATTCAGTGAAGATTATGGATGTGACATTTATTAAGCTAAGTAAAATTAAACAAAGTAGAACCTTACACTTGTGAAAACCCATTGCACACTGATACAAAGAGAAGTCGGCAATTTCATGAAAGCAAACGATAAAAAAATGGTAAACGAGCTCGCCTTGTAACCAGAAGGTCATGGGTTCGAATCCCGGCGAGTGCGTACAGCTGAAGAGTTCCAAACCAGGACGAAACAGCTGTCCAGTACCCCCAGGTTTTCCAATGGCTCTCTAACTGATGTCAGATCATGATGAAATCCTGCAATCAATCAAATTTCATCTATTTTTATTTTTGATTACAGCGTGATTCCACACTGTATTTTCGGTACATGTATGGAATTTTCAGCATGGATATCGGTAGCCCGAATTCCGCAGGCCAACCATAGATATCAGGTGTTCGTCAGCAGTGGATCGAACCTCGGACCATGTGCATGGTCGGCGAGAGTCCTAACCACTGTGCCACCGACGCACAACACTTGGATAAAAAATGTATTACTTGTCAGCGTTTTATAATTTATACTAAAATCAGGCTGTTCTGTACCCCTCATTAACCTACGTCATTCAGAGGATCATTAAAAGCCAGGGAGCAGTGAACTTCATCAGGACTTTAGCCAAGGACGTGCGGCTTACAAGGAGAGCATGTTACCATTCAGTTAATTCGTAGGATTCGAATGTCCCATGAATTCTAACTACATCAGTTTGCAATATAGCACCAGAGCCATATGATGTTATTGATGATGAGCTTGTGTCTTCGAATGCAATTCTCTGAACCTAATCAGTCACCATTTTTTGATCAAACTCCAAAAAGTTCATCCACTAACGAACAGTGGAATAATTTCAATCAAATCACTACAGACCTTACGTGGTAAAATATTCAAAATAGGTTGAATAAAAAACAGTTAAATGCAGTCTCCAAGTTCCCAGTTTATGATGGAAATTCGAAACAATATCAGTGTGATGGGCTTTACGATAACAGTTACAGTATGAAGTTTTCTCAATAATTGAGTAGAAATTTGTTTTTCAATAAATGTTCCTTTCTAATGAACTATTGTCGCAGTAGAGCCGGCTTTGAAAAAATGAGAGGAAGAAGGCAAAGCCATCTGAACTTTGAATGCAGTTTTTGCTTTAAGATTGTGTAATATGTGACAAATGTCTAAACTCGATCCAAATTACCAGTAGAGATGATTCCCCGAGACCAATAGAAAATTCATCTTATCATGAATAAAGAACTTTTTTAAAATAATGGTTAATTTACTAGAAATCACTAAGAATACTATGAAGATCAAAAGACCCAACAACAAAGTGGACATAATTAGTGCAATTAACAAAATAAAGTGCATGAACTTTGACAAGTACTGTTACATTAGTCATATTGGGATTCCCTTTTGACTACGAGTCCGAGAACACAAATTAGCTATTAAAAGACACGATATGTATTCTTTCATACTGATATATATATATATATATATATATATATATAAACGACTATGAACATCAATTTGACTGAGGAAATGTCGAAATTTTAAACAACAGAAACACTAAAAATACCAGGGAGGTGGACGTTGAAAAGTCGTTCAAATCAAAAAATAGCTCCATTCTATTTGCTGAAGCCATTTCCATCAAGCGCATGAAACCTGATTTACGCGTCCAGAAAGAAGCGGTTACAGCCTTTCTTTGCCCTGGTAATGGATAATTTCTCTTTCCTAATAAAAATGCTAAAAGTTTCCATTGTGTTTGATTATTATTGTTCAGAATAGTGTTAATATTGCTTTTAGTATATGTATATGATCGATTTTTAAACTGAACAATTCTATGGTTACTCAGACGAATCAGCGTTTAATAGACACATTATTATAGATCAGATTTATAAATTAATAAAAATTAAGTCACATGACAAAAAAGTCACATTCCAAGTCAGTAAAGGCAATCAATATTAATATAAATTAACAAGCAACCACCTAGTCTACTAGACGTTAGTAGATACAATTATATCATTCATAAAGAACTCAAATAATCTCAATTCATACAGAAGTCTGGACTGAAGATGTTTCCTAGAAAGAGTATATATATATATATATATATATATATATATATATATATATACCGTGTTCGTTGGATTTCCGAACACCAACTTGCGCGGTTGAGTAAAGGACAAACAAAATACACTCACTGCTCGATTCTATCTCATCTTGTGGATGCAGAACACAAGACTGATGTTAACGAGGCTTTCAAAGCCATCCACCGCATAACTACTAATCTTAACTTTACCTTAAGAGTCTATCTACTTCATATTCCTGACACCGTTGGGATCCACATTGTGAAAACTAACTTATGTATCCAAAAGAAGTTAGTTCAGACATTTTCATAACCTTGGCCATCACGGTTTTAATGATCCTCAATTTGATGTGGAAATTTCCTTAATTTTATTCGATATTTTGTTTGCTATTACATTTTTATGCTTCTTAATAGGTTTTGTATCTTTCGTGAACTGTAATTCTACTGATCTTACTTAACAAATCAATAGTATTTAAAAGGAGGAATATTGCTAATGACGGTTATTCTAGAACATTCTATGTATATAAATATATATAATTGTAGAGCCAGAAGAGGAAATTATCGATAAAGATATTCTTTGCTCAATTTTTCTTATACATGAGGGACATTAATCTATGCTGTCAACTTAGAATGCATTAGAAAATAAAAATAAATGACCGTACAGTTTTTTTAAACAGGTGCTTATACCAAAAACGTTAACGTTTAATATCACACCCAAAACACTTCAGACGCTATACACTGTGTGATTTAGCAAAATAAACTCTTATCTATAATGGAGTTATACTCTACCACAGTGCCCAAGTTTTATACTTATATCAGTGATTGTCTATTTTATCTAGCCTAGGAATCATAAATTTAGAAAAGAAGAAGCATAAGTGAAATAAAACAAAATTCACACAGCATTTGCGTTTTTCATTGAGCTTTTCACATATTTAGTTATCTAGATTGCTGGCAAAATTACTTATAATAGGTAAGATGTATGATATACATATAGATGCGATAAATAAAATTTTCTTTATCGACGAAATCATCTTCAGAGGCTGTACAGTTGTATTTATACTTACAAAAATAGATAGTGGTCTATTATTGAATAATAGGGGGTGACATAATCGATGTAATTAATCATACGTGGCTTTAGAGGTGAAAATTAAAAGTTGTAAATTTCATGGTACTCAACGGAACAAAGATAGAAGTTAGAAAAGGTTAAAATTGCTCTTGAGTGAGAATAAAGTTATTAGAGTGTCAATTTAACAAGTGTGAAGAGGGTGTGAAAATATACAAAAGGAGCATATGAGAAAGATAATAGTGAATTAATTATTACAGGAAAAGCAAACTAAAAGTGAAATTAAAGGTTAAGAACAAAAGAAAAAACTAAAAATTTTTTTACAGGGAACGATTAGTGAAGAGGTTAAGACCAAGGTAGAATAAGAGACTGGACAAACTTTTCCTGTATACAGAGTTCAGGGTTGTACTGATGTATTGCCAGCGCCTCCGCCATACACAAAAGCCGAAACCTGACGCCCTTTTGTACAATTTGGCTTCACTTTGTAGATGATGTTGAAATACAACCCTGAACTCTGTATACAGGAAAAGTTTGTCCAGTCTCTTATTCTACCTTGGTCTTAACCTCTTCACTAATCGTTCCCTGTAAAAGTATTTTTGATTTTTCCTTTTGTTCTTAACCTTTAATTTTACTTTTAGTTTGCTTTTCCTTTAATAATTAATTCACTATTATCAATTTCATATGCTCCTTTTGTATATTTTCACACCCACTTCACACTTGTTAAATTGACACTCTAATAACTTTATTCTCACTCAAGAGCAATTTTAACCTTTTCTAACTTCTATCTTTGTTCCGTTGAGTACCATGTAATTTACGACTTTTAATTTTCACCTCTAGAGCCACGTATGATTAATTACATCAATTATGTCACCCCCCTATTACTCAATAATAGACCACTATAAATACGACTGTACAGCCTCTGAAGATGATTTCGTCAATAAAGAAAATTTTCTTCGCTGAATCTGTCTTTTATTTTCTTCATGACTCAATGGGAATTTTCCGTGATTTGAAATAAAATTTTACTTCTACAATAAATGATTTTAAACAGGAGAAATATTTAAATTTAGTTGAAATGAATAAGTGTCAAATGATGATAGTGTGACAACTTACTTTGTATTACATGTAGAACTTTCCTCCAATTGATTTGTTTGACTTTGAATGTCTGTATTATTTGGAAGATTTAGAAAATAAAACAATGAAAGTTTTAAGTGGTTAAAAAAACAGAAATTTTATTGATTCAAACACAAAAAACGTAATCAAACATGAATATCAGTTAACCTAATGTACATTATATACATGCTATGTTCTCACTTAACAGAGCCTAATTTTTACCTGAAGTGGCTTGGTAATTTAAAGGATATAACTATCTGACTGACCGAGTTTTGCAGTAGAATTTTGCATAGAAGTGCAGCAGTACAACTTGGCATACATATCATGTAGTACACTAAGGTAGACTGGATAACGCGATAGACAGCGGGCAGCGAGGAAACAGGCATAAAATGGACTCTCACGGAAAACTTGGAAGACCTGGACTTCGACGATGATATATGTCTGATTTCACACAAACTGTAAGATATGCAAGTGAAAAGCAACAAACTGGCAGAAGAAGCATCAAAGATAGGACTTCAGGTGAACATGGAGGAAATAGACGTGACTATGAACATTCCTGGCCAACACCAACAGCAACAACAACAGACAACGATCAGCCAGCATAAATGGGAGGAACCTGAAACAAATAACCTCCTTTCCCAACCGATCTGGGAAGCATCGTTTCAACTACAGGCGGAACTGACGAGAATATCAAACCAGAGTGGATCGGGAAAGCAAGACAAGCTTTCATTATCCCTAAGTCTGTTTGGAGGTCAACAGCACTCAAAATCAAAAATAAGATCCGGATTTTCAACTCCAATGTGAAGTCAGTCAGTGCTACTAAAAGGATCAGAGACTTGGAGCGTCATAAAGAGCACCTCAAACAAACTGCAGACTTTCATCAACAACTGCCTTCACTCAATACTCAGTATCAGGTGGCCAGAAAGGATCAGCGATAGGGACCTCTGGGAGCGAACCAACCAGGAACCGATTGTGCAGCAAATAAGCAGGAAGAAATGGAGGTGGATTGGCCATACTCTGAGGAAAAACCATCAAGTGACATCACTAGACAAGCCATCGCTCTAGTGGAACCCGAAAGGGAAGCGGCGAGTTGGTCGTCAGTGCAAGGGTGACTTGGAGGAGGTCATGTGAAGAGGAGATGAAAGTATATGGACAGACCTGGAGCCAAATGAAAACTTTAGCAGAGAACCAAACGCAGTGGAGACGCGCAGCTGAAGCCCCATGTTCCTCTAGAAACTAAAGAAAATAATAATACACTAAGTTAGACAAAACAGAGAGGGGATTTAAAAGAACTAATAATGAGCGGAAATACCAAAGAGAAAGAATAGTAACATGGGAAAAACATGAGAGTTTAATGGATCTTGAAGATTACAATTAGTTAAGTGAATCTACGTCATTGAGAACAGTTGGGAGTCATATCATCAATAATCTCCAGTCATTGCTACATAGCCGACTCAAACGAACAGTCAAAGACTTCATGGACTGCTACCAGGTTTCCATCTGACCACCCACGACCCTTTTCTAATCTAATCCTATGTCAGCTAACATTGCTTGTAAGGGAAGAAGGTGTTTTGGCATGCGTAAGACATGTAATAGCCATTTCAATCACTATGACTTCACAACCTCACCGATTGATTAGCCCTCCCTACCTACCTAACACTACACCTAAACTCTAATTAATCACCGCATTATGCCACTTAACACGAAGAATAGAACATAAACATCTATGATCGAAGACAGCTAGCGTCTTTATATCTTTCAGTTGTAATGGCAGTGAATCACAGTCATAGAGAAGGGCAGAGGATATAACATTTCCAATGTTTCTTTTTATAAAATAGACGAATTACGCTGGAAACAAGGAAAATCTTCAAACATCACCGGTAAATATTTCAAAACAGTTCTCATCATAAAATAGCTTCAAAGTGTTAGGGTACTGCAAATACATAAATATTTATGAAGTGATTTTCTTAAAATTTCAAACTGAAAATATAAATCATATAACAGAATCAGAAATATTGTTAACTCAAGCATAACAGAACAAAATAATTCATGCATAAAGCAATCGACACTATGATATTTATTCAAGAGTTTACAAATTATTACTAATTTAAAGGAGAACATTTAAACACACTCAATGTGTGTAGATTATTTCCTAACACTTATGGGTAATTTTATTACTGTCATCAGATTCTACATTCATATGACAGTAATAATTAGTGGATTATTATTATTATTGACAACATCAATATTTTAAATTACATTGAACCAGTAGTATCGGCAGACTAATATTTCAAAAGCATCAGTAAGAGAGAGCGAGGGATAATACGCATCAGTATAACACTACACTAAATATCAGATAAATTTAGGGAACTAACAGATAATCTGTAGGTTCGACAGCAGGCCAGGATAGCATTATTGGCTGAGTGGACCTGTTTCTTTTGCACACAGTATTCCCGTTGATTTAAACGAATTACAATAGCATCTACTATTCGAAGTGTCCGGTACCTAGAAGTCTTTGATAATTTATTCCACACCCTGAAAAGTTCATGACTAAAAGCATACGACCAAGAATGTAGAAAAGAATTCTTCTGCGATCTGTTGACAAGAAGCCTTTGTTATATACGATTACAATTCAAGGGTGATATTCCAAGTGAAATAATGACCAAAAAGTTGATAAAATCGATTCAAAGGACCTTTATTCCCTGTAACCTGAAGCTCACATTTTTCACACAACTGATTGTGATTCCGAAACTGAAAGATGAAGTAACTAGGCTCGTCACCTCTAATTGTATCTATCATTTCAACTGCTCCTGTAGAATCAGTTATACTGTCCGTTCCACTAGGAACACAATTTTTTCGTGCTCGGGATCACCTACCGGTGTGGTTAAAGGAAGGTATTGTTGAGACCATCAAAAGTTCTATGCTAGAACACCACATCCAAAAGCTGGCTGACTAGTTTCAACATAGAACTTTGCACCGATGTGCAACAGTTCGAGTCACCACACTTCACTTAGCACACAAAGCAAGAGAAAGAAAGTGAAAATAGAAGCAAAATAGAGACAGTAAACAGAGATATGAGATAAAAAGAATAGTAATATCGAAGAACAATATAGTTTCATTGAGTATTATAAGTCACAAGTAGTGAATGCATCTGCGAACTATTTTTAGCCATATCGCCAATTGTTTCCAGCCATTGGTGTATCCCATCCCGAGGACCCCAACCAGGAAGTCTGCACCTTCCTATATGACCGGCTTAAACTAACTGTTGTGGATTTCATTGACTGATGGTATGTTTTGGTTTGACCACTGCTAGCTCTTTTCCAGCCTGACCCCATGTCAGCTAACACTGCCCGTCGAGGAAGGCGACGACTAGGCATACGTAACACATGTCCTAACCATCTCAATCGATATAAATTCATATCCTCGTCTATTGACTTCCCCTCCTTACCTAGCACTCGATGCCCAGCCTCAATATTGATCACCCTATTATACCACTTCGTCCAAAGAGTTAGCACCAAAGGGTGTCTATCATCTACTGGGTATCGAATAAATCACCAAAGGCCTCTAGATACCAAGCGATGCAAACAGCAGAGGCCATTAGAGTTTTTTTTAATCAGCATGAGTTCTGTTTTCAAAAGAAACAGGTCCATCTAGCCAATATTGCTACGCTGGCCTACTGTCGAACCTGTGGATTATCAGTTAGTTCCCTAAATTTATCTGATATTTTGATTAGCGTTATAGTGATGCATATTATCTCTCTCGCTCTCTCTTACTGATGCTTTTGAAATGTAATCTGTCAATACTTCTGATTCAATGTAATTTAAAACATTGATGTTGTTAGTAACAATTATCATTTAATTATTACTGTTATATAAGTGTAAAGCCTGATGAAGAAGAGGTTATCAAAAAGAGTATGTTCTTCGTTCAGTAATCATTCTTTTAAAATTTTATTGGGCATTTTGAATGAATTAATATTATATCAAAAATAACTCGATACAATCTATTCAACAGATCTGTTCTCTCAACCTAGGCTGTAGTATAACATAAATTTCTTAAATCAGTGACATTACACATATTTATCCTAAATTATAACAATAAAAGAAACACAAAACTTATCAAAAATAAATAAAATATCTAAACAGTATATTAAATCTAAGTTTTGCGCATATTAGGTTTCAAGTAAATACATCTGAAGTATTAACTATGACCTTTTCATATGTAGATTATATTTAAGATCTCAATGACAATGTATGAGATTCAACACCTCTGCAATCTTCATAATGCTTTACAATTTAAACTGCACCATGGCATTTCAATCTTAACAAATAAACAAATGAATTGAATTTCTGATGAATAGTAATTAACTAGATCTTTCATTATATTGTTATCATATAATAACTAGTTATAAAAACAATCTTCAATATATTCCTATATACTCTCTCAATAGGTGGCGGTTTAATAATGACATAGTTTATCTTATTACAGTGTATTTTATTAAAAGTATACTTTAGTGTCAATTTCAAATGGCAATTATAAATTATTGCTATATTTCATTTTTACAATTCAAGTGGATAAATCATTATCTATAGAAATTGTAATAGTTAAAGTCGCAAGATTTTGAACTACATTGGCACAATATATACTGTGAACACCTATCATTTATCAGATATTTAGTGAATTTGAAAACGCTCACCATCTTTGGTTTGTGTATAAGGTTGAAAGACAGTTTAAGTGTACAGATATAAATACACCCCAAATGAGACATATTACTAATATTAGTGTATTATCTCATTTTTAAAACCTCTCTTAGAAGAAACACTTTAAATAAACTATATGGTGAATTAAAACTGCCTTAATTTTTAGAAATATGTCACCTTGTAACTTAGTGGTGTGTACACAAAGGTGGCCTGGAAAGTGTGCATTTGGTTGAATTTGATTTTTAAGTATTTTCGTTATTCCCATAAGGAATAAACTAAGGGACAAAATTGAAGTAGGCAGGAAAGGCGGTCATTTGTACCCTTCACGGAGTAAAAATCTAATGAAGTAGACAAACATTATTCGTTGGCTAAGATGCTGATTTAAATCACATTGCATTCACTAGAGTCTGGGAATTCTGGTAGAACGATCACTTTTCCAAGAAATTGCCGTATGACATCTTACACCACTATCATATAACACATCTCTACTAAAATCCAATATTTAACACATTATTGTGTGATTCTTATAAATGGCTGGAGTAAATGAATGAGTGCTAGATATCTTAGTAGGTCTTGTCACTCTTGCTTTTATTCAAATGAGTCAGAGTTTAATGGCATTTTCACAGAAACTGTTGACAAAAATAGGTAAGAAATGCGATAAGAAGCTAAGTAAAATAAGAATTAGTTAACAGAATTTATTGACCAATTTTAGGTAATATGTAAAGATAAAAAAATGATATCAAGCCACTCAAGACACAGAAAGTATGGACCGTATATATGCACTGTTGGATAAACCTGAAAAAAAATGATGGACTGTCGAGATAGATTCATCCAAAGATATCAATGTATGTTGAGTAAAGAAACGGATAAAACAAGACTACCTAGGGAATGCAGCTCCTTTTACTTTCTGGCAAGTAACTTGACTGCTTCATTCCGTAAAACTTTTTCCGCTGACATAAAACAATATACTCATAGAAAATTTCTGCAAAACAACACCAATTTCGTGAATAAAATACAGATAAGACACCCCCTAGACAAACAATAAATATGCGGCCGCCGAAATTCTATGCACGAAGACAACGAAGTCTGAAGTCAAACAGAAGTGGAATTGACACTAATACTTCCAGAAACATTTATTTGTGTGGCAAAAAGAGATTCATAACAACGATAAATGCATGAAACAAGGTAAATTCTGCCTCACACTGCCAACTCGCCTTCATACTTTCTTTGAAAGGCAAACATCATTAGACATTAGTGTGTTAAATATTAGTAAGTCACTTTTCCCAATCACACAGTGGTGGTTAAAAACAAAGTGAATGAACAGCTGTATGGAATTCAACTGATATTTACATTAATGATGACTTCGGAAAAGTAACAGTGAGAACTAATTATTCAGCTGTAACTTACTAATAAGTACTGACGTGTATATGCAAAATGTGTGCGTGTTTTACACTATTCAACAACAAGACATGGCTTAAGAAGACAAAAGCCACAAAGTAATTACAAGTATCCTATCAGTGATGTTACTGTATTACTACCAATAAGTAGCTGCAACAGTAACTTAGGAAAGTACGGTTAAGTAACGGGTTTACAGTTATTGATTTTAAGGTGTTCCACTTGCACACCCTACCTATGTTAATATAAGTGTACGTGAAACGGACTGGATAATACCTAACTTCCGTCTTTTAATAAAGAGTTTACCCACCAAAGACCAGTCCATAGTATGGTGTTAGGACAATAACTCAAAATCTAACACCGAACGTTACCTCAAGTTAACTCATTCTGGATTAATGAGAAGCCAATTAGCCACCAAAGGAAAAGATGGAAATACAAACACGAAAAATGTAAAGACCAGCGATCCAAACTAAACCATGTATAGTGCCGCTGCGTACTCCCTTGTTTTGTAGTGATTACATTAACTACTGCTGAAGATTTTCCAAACGAACCCAGACATCTTCTTAACAAATAATTGTTTGAAATATCATAATACGTCCTAGTAAGTTTGAAATTTATCCTGTGAGATCTTATTTATAGTAATCCTAAAACATGCAGTTTTAGCAGCATGAAGTTCTAGGCATCTCTCTAAAAACTATGAAGAGTATACTTCAGGCTAAGCATGATTTGTTTCGCTGTGGTCACCATGATAAACAAATTATTTAGTTTGCATTTAATTTTGCATCACACACCGGTCGAGCGAACTTACAGTTTGAATATCCCTGTGGAGTATAATTTAGTTGAACATAGTCGAAGTTATCGAGATCGGCCAGCATTTCATTAAGCTCCCGAACATTCTTCGGTTGGTTATTCTTCAGGTCATTGCTGTAATTCTCTTGCTCTAACGTAAATTTATTTCCAGCAGAATTATCTGTTCCTGTGTGCTGATCACTCCCTGTCACATTGGTGAAGGAACTGCTGTAATCACAGTAAGAATTGCTGTATTTATTTTTCTGTAGTATTTTCTGATTTGTTTGATGCAACTCATTCAATAAAGAATCTGAAGTAAAAAGAAGTAAAACCTGAAAATTAAAGTCAACATGACATATTTAATGAGCAAAACCAAATAAAAACAGTACTTTACAACTAACCAAGTTCATCCATTTACGAACAACGCGGGTATACGCTAACAATAATGACCTAGAAAATCTAACACAAAATGATGGATTATAACCAATGGCAAACAAAGTTCGAGATTCACACCTAATCTAAACTTTCTGATTATAAAGCTAACCTAACATCTTATAAAAAACATAACTTAACATTATCAACTGCAGATTTTTATCTGAAGATGAGTTTTCACTAAGTTTGCGTAGGTCTTCGAGTGCATATCGCATTGGAAGTGGCGGTTCCCAAATTGCTTCGAAAATCTGCTAGGGAAAAGGAAATGTCGAGTATCAGGTGGGCTGTGCACTAGTATCATGAAATGGACTCAGGCTGCTTACATGGCTTATACTCCGTATCTTATTAGAATTTTACTGAAATAGTGATCACCCAGATACCACTAGCTATTGTACCACTAACTGACTGTTATGGAAGGTTGCCTGGAAACATTTGATAGAGAAAAGAGAGGGAATATCACCCTTACATGCAAAATTTCCGCCAACTTCTCTCCTAATATTCACTGTACATACATAAGTGCTTTAGGGAACTCCTAATTCCATTGGTCATAAAATTTCATATTTTGAAGTCAGTGATGGAATATAGGCGGTGCACGCTAGACAAGTACTTACAATTTTATATTTGTAACATCCCAGGCACTGATTTACAAGCAGTTCTGCTTTGTTCGGCCTAACAGTAAAAGAGCATCTCTGAAGCTTACAATACCGTTTAGTTCCTCGTCCATCAATGTTTCTTACTTAGATACCATTAGTGACATAATCCTTCATCCATCAGCGCTAGTTCAGGTACTTAATGGTGCTATCTCCTAACTCTGATGTTCATGAGCATGTATTGATTATTTCTTAGCAGCACCTGATCTTGCATATTCACGGTCATCGCAGGGTAAGTCAAGCTAAACACCCCATTCCACTTTGGTACATAGTATGTTCGCAGATTACGTCATTGTTGTCACTCCGCTGTAATCCGATTTGACAATATGAATAGTAAGATCTCAGTTTTTCTACAAAGACAACTTTCAATGTATCGTTACCTGCATCAGACATAACATACATTCAATAATCTGATCACCGATGTTCACTCTGTAATTATCCATAGCGCTAACAACTAGCATATTCGTCACCAGTTGGTCCATTCGGGAACTAAGATAGGGGAACACTGGCGTATCTACCAGAAGCAACTCAATTATGGACCTGACTTCAAACATGAACGTATTATCGCATTGCGAAATTAAAATTTGTCACTGCGATTCAGGAGTGAACACTGGGGTATTGACTACTGATCATCACCTTCGGACAAAACGCTATGCTGTCATGTTGAGATATCTATTCCCTAATGCATAGTGCATTGACCGGAAACTATTTAGTTAAGCTCTTTTAAAAACTTCGAGCTTTCTCCCGGCTGGTTTTGACCAGAAATAACGACCATGATTTTTCTGGCTGTCTATCCTGCAAGACCTGAGCACTGGCCACACTACCTGTCGACTCTTAAGCCTGGCCCACCTAAGCCGATGGCCAGGCCGTTCCTAACACCACCCCAGCTTGCTAAGGGATACTATAACATTGACGGCTGCTGAAAATTGTATTTGCTGACAACAATTTAAACCGAGTGTAGAGCGACACAATAACACCACAACAAAGCCATTTAGCTCTTCTCACTTGAAAATCCAATGGTTTACCTTGTGTTTTCGTATGCACAGCAAACAGAAACTGATCCCTGAAGGTTCGACTAATTTGATGAACTTCTTTGATTCCCTATATTCTTAAGCGATCGCCCTATTTATTCCAGTTTACCGAAAGCTTTATCTCAATATGATGAATTCATAGCAAATTCGAGTCAATTAAGAACTTAGGCGCTAGAAATGCTTTAGACTCAAAAACACACTTATTTCTGTGATGGATAAGTTAACTTTTTTAAAGTTAGCCGATTTGAAGCCTGAAGTTTTTGCCACTCCATTTACTTGTGGCTCATGCGTAAATTTTAAACCCCTAGGAGAAACATTGTCCATCATATCAACGGTTTATAACCATCAGCCGAAGTACAAACACATGGCCTTCGGTCCATAGTCATCAGAAAGTGAAACCAGTCGTTCAAGATATTCATCCTGTCAGATGACGGTTGAATTTATCTTTGTGTTTAGGAAACTAATACTCCACTACGAATCTGGTTACTGGGAAATGCGACTGAAAATGGACTAAATTATATTAAACCAGCAATTTCACTAGCTATGGAAAGTTGGCAATAATTATTTCTCTGATCAGATCGTTCTGAAATTTTTATTACTGACCCCTAACATGGTTTCATTCGGATTTCTCCCTGTGTCGTGCACCTTTTAATTTCCTCAGCTTAGCAAGCGTTTGTTATGGGTCAAAAAATTGTAATTTGCTTCATACTTCGGCACATCAAATGACAATGACGTAGTGCACTACACTATTATTTGTGAGATTAGGCCGCATCGTAAAGGTTGTTCTCTGGGAATTGCACTCAGTAGGTTACTTCCGTGCAGTTTTCCCCAAATGACGTGGTCAGTAGATTGATGAAAGGTAGTTTTCTTCAATCTTTGTTGCTAACAGCACTGTTAATAGTATGTCGCCTGCATTGTCAGCGTACAAGACGACAGCGCCACACGGAGAACACTTCTTTTTATTGTTGACACAAGGTTACATATTTCTGTTGTGACTATGCGCTAAGCGTATTCCTGGCTAATTGTTAACGAGAATTGGAGATGGTTACATTCCATCCACTTATTACTCAAATTGGCCTACCTCTCAAAGCGAAAAGCTGCCTGAAATTTTCACTGCGTGATTTCGAACTTCGAAAGAAAGCCGGCTTTAGATGAGTTAATAAGCAGATTCAGACACTTCTTTGCCATACGGACGACTTTGATATGGCATACATAGCTGCCATAATACTGAATCGAAGCCTTGTGAGATGGTGGATGTTAGATTTTCTGAAGGGGCACTGCATGCAAACGCAAGTATTTATGCTATGCCTTCCACATTACTTGTTTTAATCAGGCCAGAGACAAATCGAACCAACAAATTGGTGATTCAAAATATCAGACATATTAGGGGATCAGAAATGCCAAGTTGAGATGGTTCCCAAACTAACCAGGATTCACGTACGAACAAATGTAACATGACAGAGTGCCAAATTATATGGATGCTCGACCAAGTACCACCGGTTTAACAATCCAGTTTAAATAGTGAATGTCAGCAACCAATGTTGAGTGAAGAATGCCCTAGACTTATAATTTTCTGAAATTATTTACAACCACAAGAATCGGCTAAACATACAGATGTAGAACTGGATCACATAGATAATACATAACCTCGTACTAGAAAATGTCATCCAATCTAACCACAGTAATATACCGGTAATAGCTAGATGATCCTCTTAACATAATTTGCTGCTATCAAGCCTGACAAGGTATTCATATTATTTAATTCCTAGATTTGTGATGTCCTCCCTCCTTATGTTTCTAGAACAATATTGCAAACATGAATTTGATCTTGTGTTATTGCCACTATAAGTTTAGGTGAACGGTATGTGTTAGTATGTGGGCTCACCAGTTTAGGAGTAAAGCGATTGTCGGCATTTTTGCGAGGAGCTATGAATATTAATGCAAGCATTTATCCTACAACTCCTACAGTACTTTTTCCGCGTGGGCCGAAGGCAGATAAAAAAACGAGTTGATTATCAGGCATAAGATATATATTTTGGGATCAAAGTTGTAGTCGATGTTGAGCGCTTATCTAGAAAGGGGTGATGATCAGCTTTCAATGATGAGTGGCGAACGTTGTAGACTAATAACTTCGGGGAATTGTTTGCCGCTACAGCCCACTCCACCCAGTGGGGTTGAGAGGACCCTAATATGAAACCAGTCGAAAGTATAAAGCTAATGGTGGAACCATCGATAAAACCCTCCCGGCGGGTGTGATGGCAGTGAATTTCCTACGGTTCATCTGCCGATGCTAATGTAACATATGTATATGACTCCCTTGATGTTCGGCTGTTGGGTCTCGTTTTTCGTACACCTTTTGTCCAGTGCTCATAGTACCTAAGAAATAAAACAAGAATGTATCAGAATCTTTTCAAAAAAGGTGTGCAAAAAATAATGGTTGGATTAAGGCACAAACTACATACAGAAAACTGGAAAATTGGAACAACCGATACATTTTAGGCAGTTAGTGTTGTGTATTGGGTCTAAAGAAATACAGTAAATTCATCATGCAGAATGCAATGAAAATAATATAACATGCTTAAAAAAGTATCATAATCGGGACAGGCTTTTATCATAAGAAAATGTCAGTCTTATTTTATGAGAATAGTATGAAGGTACAATGGGAACCTCGTAGTTCTTCCAGATCGCGTTTTTCATTCGGTCTCTTCAGGGGATTCGGTTGCTTTCATAATGCTGTTTCTTCTAGGAACAGCTGGTATTTATTTGGCCATGTGTTATTCCAAAAGCCTGGTTCAAGTCTCATGGATCGCCTTCTAAGTAGGCGATCGATACTAAAGGAGGCTTCTCAGACCTCTTTTTCTGCGGCGAAAATACTTTTGTATCTGCCTTCTACAAGTCTGTTCAGCTTCTTGTCAAGACGCTACCCGGTGGCCCTCACAGAAATTCATGAGACGTCTTACAGATCAGCTTGTCATACGGGTTCTAACCTTCCAGATCTTTGACTTCAACTTTCACTGAAATATCAATTATCTACTTCATGATAAGCTTTTTATTTGGGCATTATCATATGCTATTTTATCTTAACTACCTAGACCTTTGTTAAAGGTAAAACGTACTTTTTCTTCATATGCGTTGCTTGCTTAAATTCTGGTTGCTTTGATTAAAAACACAACAACACCAATGTTAGAACGAAGCTATATTTTCATCGAACAAGTCATGGTTTTCATGCTTAGACCGATATGGTTAGCAGTGAACAATGCAACGGTAAAATATCATTCCAAGGAGTCTCCACATCCTTCTT